AAGCCTGGTATCGACTGCGCGCGGCTGCCTCGCGAGGCAATGTTCGTTGCTTTGCCTCGCAAAGTCGATACCATGTTGCCACGCGTGGCAGAACGAACAATGCCGCGCTCGAACTTGGCGCGCGTCGCGCCAAATCTGAGCGGTTCTTTGTCCCGCGGCAAAGGGATTTCACTGTGCTGTATTCATGGTGATCTTGCGAGAACTGACGAACAGCGTCGATCACAGCCGAACACGGTTGCCGCGCTCGATGCTGGTAACCACGAGCACAATGAGCGAACGAACGAGTTTGCCGCGCACGAACAGGTGCGCGAGGCAGCCGCGCGCAGTCGATACAAGGCTTAAGACGCCGACCTATAGAAAATCGTGTAGTAAAAATAGCCCAGATACCTCCGCAGAAATTAAATTAGTTCTTTGAAAGTTTACAGTGCCAGGAATCAAATTGCATAACAGCAAACTCGCATATGGAAAAGTTTGCATTTCACAAACAGATCTTACCGATTCGTCGATCTCATTGGAGCAAATTCGTGTTAACCAAACATACGTAATTGCAGGGATGAACTGTGTAATTTTTAATCAAAATCAGGGATGTAAGAATTACGATTTATTATAAGAATCAGTAGGAGATACATTGTAAAACGTTATAAATAATACTAAACTACACTTGTTTTCACTTTTTGACTTCCTGGTTTCAAAATCGGTGTTATTCTCGATCGGCGTAAATCGAGGGTTACCTGTACTATTTACCAGTCAGCCACCACATACACTTCTCTCTTCCTCCTCCTGATTATACTAACAAGCCAAAATGGTGGCCTTGCGAATACTAATACCAACATTACACGGTGAAAGCATTCTGCCATTTCAGATTTTGTTCATCACTTCTACTGTAATTAAAATATACAGTATGAGTAAATCTTTTGAGAGGGATATAATTAGATTAAAGTTATGAATACCGGTATTATTATTATTAATGTTATACTAGTGAATGTTATTTTTAATATTATTGGTATCAATGTTCAAGAATTGACAGCTACATGAATAATTTGACGCTATCCCAAATGTAAGATTCACTGACAAAGATGCTGCTTATGTGGGTAGAATCGGCAACTTGTAGTACCACACACTAATAACAAACATTGAATAGCGTAATGTTGAAATACAAATAAATGTTCATGTAATGTGTTAAATTTTGAATTTATAGAGCATCTCCCGCCAATTATTTGAAGTCTTTTTTTTCCTTCCCGGGTAGAAGATTGGTATGGTATGAACCAATCATGCTTTAGAGTGACGGACGCAATTTTGAAAAATGTATTACTCCGATTTATTTTTAATGTAATTACAGAAATTTTACAAATTAATACATATTATTATGTAATATAAAGTGAAGTTTGTATATAATTACTAGTGATGGGTTATGTATCTTTTGGGTTTCGTATGTATGAGTTGAGAATTAGAAATGCACGGCACTTTTTATTGCGGATGAATATATGAATTTGAATTTTGTGTGAATCTGTAGTTGGTGTTGGCTTGGGTTGCGTTGCGTTGCGTTGGTTGTTTGTGTGAGGAAATTAAACGTGTTTATGTTGTTTGAAGTTGTTGATATCAGAAGCAAGTTCATGACGATTGTTTATATTTAGCATTAAGTGTAACTAGTAAGAGACTTTCTCTGGCTGCTTGTCGGTAGTGAAACTTCACACTACTGAAGAACAGCAGATAAACACATGCAAGTTGTGTTACCAAAAAGTTGCTGATGTTGGAAGGGTTTACCACATCTGTAAACAAAGGGAAAATTTCCTTTGATTATATAGTAAATCAACTATAACACTTTCCTTGATAATCTTAAAGAGGTTTCCATTCCATGTTTTTAGCATGGTTTAGTAGTTTTTATTAGTACTGTTATTTATATGTGGTTTAAGGATGCTCTCAGCTGAGACTAGCATCAGTATTGGCTTTCAGTTGTTCCAGCATCCGCACTTGATTTATGGGTATCTTTACTGAAAGTATTATGAATGTGATTAAGTGACTTGTTCAGACAATTAAATAAATTCTAGTAGTAGTAGTAGTAGTAGTTTAGTCTCACATGGTGTTCAGTTATAGGAGAGTATCAAATCATATTTCTTCTTATTCCTGATGCTATAATTACCCATTATTCACACTGGGACTACTTTGTTATGCGTTTCAGAGAGTGCTCCCTGCTGGATATTATCATTTGTGGCCATTCGTTTGTGTACAGTACGAGTTAACTAGTATAGGTTCTGCAGTTAGGTGAACTTCAGTGTGTGTTAAATATCCTGTTTCAGTACATAATGCTTTATTTCAAGAGCAGTGATACCTTAGTAAATTAACTGAATGTGTGGCAGTTTGCTGGAATTTTGATTCTTGGTAGGTTCAGGGTGTTGAAGTTACCATACCTCCATGTAGTATCAAGATTAGGGATTGTATTGAGCTTTAACTCCACAACTCCTTCTTCTGTATTCAACTTGTTGACATATTGCTAAAACTAGTTGCCATGTTACCATAAAGGGTAAAGTTGAAGTTATCATATCTTTAGATTTTGTTCTCATTTTCCTTATGTTAGCAAGGTTCATATTACAATTTTGGATTTGGTACCAAAAATTATATTGCTTTAGGTTATGTTTTATGTTTTTACTGTTCATTTTTATTTGTTGTGATTGAATCTTGAAAGGCGTGTTTTGTTCATTTATGTTCAGGGTGTTGAACTCTACAGGAATGAAGTTGTGAGGCCAATTTAGCTATCCATTCCCTTTCTCCTGATGTTATGTTGTCTGCTAATACTATGTAGGTCATGGGTCAGAAGATGATATAAAGTTCTTATAAAGCTGACTTCAAAAAGTAGTGACTCACAAATTTTATCATCTGCCTTCCATCAGTATTCTGTAGTCTTGTTTACTTGTGTCATTTCATTATCACATAGTCAGATCTAGTTTGCAGTTATCACTTTGTGTACTGGTACCATCAAAGAAGTCTCATACATCTGTTCCTTGAAACTATACTAAGAAGCAGTATCCAAGAATGGAGCATGCACTATTTACTGTTGCAAGATCTAGTTGCCATAAAACCCTCGGGTTTCTTCTGTAGGAAGGTTCTATGACAACTATGTTATAGCGACCCATCTGTAATTGTAATATAAATAAAATCATGTTACAGAAATCTCAGAATTGGCCATAGTTGGCATACCCATGCCTTTTAGGTTAGTCTAGTTTGTAAGTTGCTTGTTAGAATCTTTATTTCTTAGAAGGTTGTAATATTTTTAAGTACTTCTTGATAAATTTTGTTGGTCTATTGACATGTTCATGTGAAGGTCAATCCCATTTATGTTGTTTATAGTATATCTTCTTTGCCAAAATCACTACATGTAGTAAAATTGTACTGTTCTCGCATTTTCTATTTTTCATGACTACTGTTTTTTTGAGGCGTGTTATGTATTATCACTTTATTTTTCCTATAGCTTACTGTTGTATTGGTCATCACCATATTGTTGTGATCCACACTTGTAAAAAATGATAGCACGTGGACATTTAATCTTTATAAAGCATAATGGCAGAGATGGATCGATCTATCCTGTTACAACACCAACCTGCTCTGTTGGTAGAGGATACGACAATGACATAAGAATTTATGTGCAATCTGTCTCTGAAGTGCACTGTGAAATTTGTACATCAGATTTTCAACCGGTAAGAGACCTAAGAGCATCAAGGAATTGCATGAGGAAATGATTGTTGTAAAGTAGTTTCATTTAAGAGTCTAGATAGATATATCTCTTGGAACTGAAGGAGTGTAAGAAAATTACCCACTCATTTTGTCATTGTTTACAACGTGTACTACTTGGTTTTACGTGTTCATGTTATTTTTTAAACTGAAGAAATGATTTAAATGCAATAAATCTCGGTTATAATAACATAACGAGTTTGTAGTTATAGTGTGATAATGATGACTTTATATTTCTTACCATAATTTATATACAGGTAAATTGGGTTCTGGGGGAGAAGAATAGCTCTTTGCTACCTTTTCAGTTGCATGTTTTCTTAATGATACGGCACACGTAAGTTTTGGCCTGTTCTGTTATGTTGGGTTTTGTTTTGGCTGGTAACTCATCAGTAAAGATTTTGCTGTTCATTGACCAGCATGTCTGTAAACAAGGGATTTTTTGTGTCTGAAATGGTTGATGTTATTTGCAGGTTAGAATGTCAAATCTAAAACTTCTTGACGATGGTGAAGAGTCAATTGAATAAAAATTTACTTGGATATTATCCATCGTCTAGTAATAAAACGTAAAACGACGTTTCGGAGATGATTTTACGTTTTATTACTAGACGATGGATAATATCCAAGTAAATTTTTATTCAATTGAGGTTAGAATGTGTTGAAGATATGTATCAGAGTAAAGATTCAATTTAGTATCATCTTCTGTTTTATCTTTGAGGAAGAACAATCAGCAAATTTTGTCTCACTATGAACAAAAGATGGGAAAATGTGGGTTTTATTATATTGGCAAAGCATTATTGGAATGGTTTAAGGTGTTCTCATTTTCTAATTTGAAGATTTACACAGAAAATTTTAAACATAATTAGAACAAGGACTACAGATGCAGTAATGGGTGGCTTGGTTGTTTTAAAACCCATTACTGAAAGTGACCCTGTTTTTATAAGTGGCTGAAATAATGAACATGTTACAAGTATTGAAGATTTTGTTTACGTTGATGATGATCTGGAAACATTTTTGGGTACCTACAGATGATGACAGTAGACTCAGTATTACAGAAAGAAGATGTAAGTTCCCATAGAAAACAAATAATATTTATAATGAGCAAAAGTTATTGGTCCCCCTGCATTCGTAACTGACTTTTCCTGTATTCAACCTTTCCTTGGGAAACTTGGGAATTTAGATTCCCCCTAACCAGGCAGGCCTTTTTGGTGGAAGATGTGTGTTGAACCTTTTGATTGTTACAAATTAAATCCAGTCAAGTTTATGCACAGTGAACATGTTTTGATTTTCGTGTTGTAGGCCATATAGTGTGTTAGAGATGGCGGTTAACATTAAACACAACCATGTGTGCTTAGCATGAAGTCATGCCAGTGTCATGAAACAGCTCAGTTTTGGCATTATTTAACATCATCACCAGCAAAAGTTACAATAATATATTTCTATATGAAAACAGTTTTAATCTGTAATTTACACATTTGTAGTACCATACCTGTTAAGTAACTTTACTAGCAAACCAATTTTCTTTCTTTTTCTTACAGGCAGTACTGAAGAATTTAAGCAGTATCAATCCAACTAAAGTTAATAATGTGTCAATTCGTGAAAATGAGCACTATCTAGAACATGGTGATATGATAACTACCGGTGAAAGGTAAGGAGCTCTTTGAAAAATTTTGCAACGGTATAACTGTTTGAGTGAAATTTTGGTGTAATGAATGCCAGTATATCGAAATGTTTGAAATATTATTTCTTAGCAGAGTATCATATATTCTAGTGGTAAAATGGTTCATGATAATGAATGTTGGTATAACAAAATTTCAACATATCATAGTAATGCCCTTTCCCAGTTCAGAAAAATTGTTCAGATATGAGATATTTGTTAATATGTTTATTTAGAATGTTTTAACCTTTCCCAAGTAAACACAGTGCCTGAAATACAAGTGGTGTTTCAGAATAGAGTATATCTGTTGGCAATATGTGTTAGAAACCGTGCATTTTATAGACATTCTCAGCTTTCTTAATTTGTCCGGTATGTAATGTGGCACATGTCTGATGTGCCATGGAGCTTTAAGAATTTTGTTAGTGTGAGTTTAATTTGTCAATTTACAAAATTTTGTTATCGTGCGATTTACTGTAGTCGAGCCTCTAGGAAACGATCTTTTGCCAAATGGTTTGCAAAGTTTGACTTATTTATGTTTGTTAGATGGAGCATACATATTATGTAAAGTACGTAAATTAGACTTAAGTTATTACAGAAATAGGATTTATAATTGAAATTATATACTGTAAACATTGTTTAAATATGAGACGAAGAGTCTGCTTCAAATTGTCTACTACAACTACATAATAAGTAAATGCATGTCCTAACTATATAAAAAAACAATAGGCATCAGAAGTGGTGTATGTATATAACTGTTTGTTCTTATGGTAAATCTGTACAATTTTCTGTCATTATTATAAAGGACTTTAATACTGCAGTGTGAAACTGCATTTTAAAGCAGTTTGAGACTAATTTTGCTTGAATATAAAATAGCAATTTTTTACAGGTCTTGACTAATTTTGCTTGAATATAAAATAGCTTTTTACCCAATTTTTTACATGTCTCTTCGATGGGAATACCTCCCAGGGTCTCAATATTACTTGCCTACTAACACAAAGAATGCTAAGCCTCTTTCGATGTCCCCATTGCGTGGAAGTACTGGAATGGTTGGCATGCCTATGTCTGCATTACAAAGTACCCTAGGCAGCCAACCTTTTAGTAGACGGTCTGTAACAGGTAATACTATGTTTATTTTGATTGAATGGGTTTTGAATTGAAAGATTGTCTTGAAATTTGAAAGAAACTTTTTCCCCTCATATGTGTTATTACTCTTCTCTGAGCACTTGGTTATCTATTTTCTATGAACCTTTTTATGATGTATATGCAGCATTCTTAAAATTAATGCATAACATATTTCTGTTGTTTCATCTTTCAAACTTCTTTTCTCTGTGCTAAATACATGTTCAACATGAAGTAAGGTGTTCCTGACATCTGTAATTCCCTATGCTGATTTGTTTATTGTTTTGTAGTTAGGATAAATGTCATAAGATGGTTTGCTAGTGCGTATGAAGAGTGAAGATTGTAAAGTTCATTGTAATGCTGATCATTACTGTAACACATTGTGGATTATCTAGTAAAATAGGAATGAGTGCTTGGATTATAAGCATTACAGTTCAAATCTGCTGTGACTATTTATTAGATTTGTTTCCTTTGTTTGCAAAATGTATGTTATTGGTTCATTTCAATTTTTAGTTTAACTTGTCTTATTTATATCGGATTTGAGACTTTCCCGGCGAGTACAATCAATTAAATCTTCTTGTGCAATCAGTCACATTAACTGGTTACGCTAGTAAACCGATGTTTCGGGAACCAATCCATGGTTCTCATGTGACAGTTAACGCGGCTGATTGCCCGAGAATATTTTATTGATGTCTTATTTCTGTTTTTCAGATAAGAAGATAAAATTGTCTCCTGCCTTAATGGCCTCAAATGGACAAAGTGCATCTAAACGTCTTGTTGCTATTGTTAGTCCACAAAGAAGACCACAGACAGAGAAGAAGGTACTAGTGCATATTGTTGAAACCAAAGATGGTCAATTTTACATATGATCCATAAGTAATCTGTGTGTGTCTCAACCAGCATGCTGTGACAGTTTGACTTCAAAAGTGTTTCAACACATTAGAAGTGTGGTAATAATAGTGAGATTCCTTTAGTCTTTATTGCACTATAGCTGCCTTGATAATTTTCAGTTTGTCATACACAGCTTTTTCAGAACGGACAGTTGTAGTATTAATGTGTCCATTTGTTGTTTATTATTGTCCCTAACTTGTTACACTGCTAATTCTTTTTTGAACTGTAATACATATTATATATATAAATGGAAAACATATCCATGTATGAAGGGATTTTAAATGCGTGCATACACACAACTTAATAATGATACATTATTTTCTGTGACTTGATATTTGCCTGTATTTTAGTGTGTTGCCAAGTGAAACACTATTGTGATCGAATTATTTGGTTACAATATATCATCTGTTAGATGTGTATAATTTCCGTCTTTACTGGACATTTCCTTTCTAGTTTAGGTTGTAACTAAGGTAGTGGCAGGGAATAGAACACCAAGTCAAGAAACTGTAGGCATTGGAACTGTAGTAGCCTTGACCTTTTCGTTGATTCCTCAATTGAAACAGAGAAGTCCTATGGTGAGACAGCAATGTTTTTACTCCTTTATGTTAGCATACAAAAGAATTTGATATGTGAACATTGCACTGTATTTCAGTGTGGGGAGATGCTGTTCAGGAAACTTAGCACTCACACTTACATACAGTTTTATCATTATGCAGCATGTCTGAAGCAGAGGTACTGTGTCATTTGTACTCTTTGTAGGGTTGGTGATCATTGTTTGAGTTTTCTCCCTCTCCCCTACCATTTGGGCATGGACTCTTGAGTTTTGCAAGTTCCCAGTTCCTTGCCAGATCCCTGATCAATTTGCTTACTATTCTCAGTCTTATTTGGGGTTCCGTATGTTGGGTATGCTCTATTTTCTTTGATAATTTGATGTAGTTTCATTTTGGTCTCTCAAGTTCTGGAGAAATATTCAGGCATTATTTACAGATTATCAGCAGTACTACAATTTTTGCTATCCTTGTTCGTTACACCTTCTATTGGAGCTTAAATAGGGCAAGAGGCCATTTCAGACATTGTCCCCATCTCGCATAACGCATGCAAGCATTAGAAATGGGATGATGGACATCTGGATCAGTGGCCTTCAGTGCATTAATGTCCAAAGTTTTCACAGTGTGTAACTAAAACCATTTCCATGGTTCTTGTATTTTTCCTCGCAGTTAGTGAATTATGCCAGCATATAATATACCTTGTGAGATATGTTCCCTTTTGGCTGCTAGGGTTTCAACCTGTTTTATGGAATTTTTAGGCAGCAGGTACTGTTACAAGTGTAAGCTCACCTGCTGATAAAACTGTGGCAGAATTGAGGAACCAGCCTTCTAACAAGAAAAAAGATCCTACGCCATCAAAGAAAGAGTACAGTAAATCTGCCATGAAAACAGCTGTGTCAGATATTGGTGTAAAGATGCCTGGTAAACGGTCGTGGCAGGTAACTTTTAATTTTGTTACTTTGAAGTGAAACAATTATGTAAAACCATTAATGTTTCTGTTGTGGACAGCAGACTAATGAAAATGGAGGAACTGGTTTCCAAATTATGCATTTTATTGCGTGAGTCTTGCACACAGAATCTGTTGTGAATGTAATAAGAAAGTAAGTCTCTCCACTTCTAGTAACTGAAAAATTGCTAAATGGTTTTTCCTTAAATTTGGAATTGAGGTACTTTCCTGAGTATCTGAATGTTTTTCTGTGTGTATAATGAATGAATTGCAAAAAAAAATTGTAACGAAAGTTGTTTATGAAACATGCATTATGTGTACAATACACTTTTTCAATAAATTTTCCTGTTCTATGGTATTGAAATGGGAGTTTTATGCTGACTGTGGTTGTAATAATAATGCACTTGTACACATTTTGTACTTTCTCATGAATGGTTGAATGTGCAGACATTGGTGACCAGCAGAAAAGCACCACTAGTAAATGCCAAGGCTTGGAAATCTGTTGGTGGCTCATCAGTGTCAAGAGTAAGCCGAATTCCATCACGTTTGAAATCTGTACCCAAACTCTCGAGTGCTAGAACACCTCAGAAAAGTAGGAAGTCATGTGGAAACTTCCAAGTGAAGAATACAGTATTGTCCATGAAAAAGGTATTTTGAGAACCAGGGTTGTCAAGAAAACATTTTGTAGTTAAAACTTTGCTCTGTGTAATAATCACTGTTTCATGTTTTTACAGAACATTTCCTAAAACAGGCCTACAGTTGAGGAATATATATATATATATATATATAAATTCTATACCTTTCCTTATGACAAACAGCCTTTTGTCATTATTTAACAAAGTTCATAAGATCCAGACTACCTTGGCCATGTTATTTCATCAGGGTATAATGTTGCAATTAAAAAATATGTTGTATGTGTCATTCTGCAGACAAAATCTGAACAGAAGGTAACATTTACTGTATCAGATCAAGAAAAGAAAAGGAAACTTGAATCTGGACTTCGTTCAGCAGAAAGAGCTGCTAAAAAGTTGAAATTAGAGAGCCCAAAAACACCTGATAAAAAGAAGATGGCTGCCCTCCTAGTGTGTCATGGGAAAGTTTCACGTCCAAAGACTCCACAGTTTGTTTCCAGTTTCCCTCAACCAGTGGAAGACACATTAAAAGGTAAATAATGATATACATATATGGGTTAATGTATTTATAGTATATATTAAAAGCAACTGAATTGTGGGAAGTAGATGTGTTGTATACGTAATAATTGATTTGTGACATGAACCTGTTCTGTTGACTTGACACAGTGGAAAGGAAGAGTGGGATACATACCACAGCAGCAAAATCTGGAAGTGCAGTACGTAAGGCTGCCAGGAAAACATCAGAAAACTTGCAGTCAGTAAGTAATGATAAAATAGCATCACCAAATCATGTATACTCTATGGTAAGAAATTACATCATGTGTACTATTTTTATTCATTGGTTTGTAGGCATAACATTTCAATTTTGTTCCCACAGATTCAGACACTCACTGTCTGTACTGGACTTAAAATTTTCTGTCATCTTCTTAGTCTTCCTCTTATGGGCTATCCACATGCATCATCTTACCTGTGCAAACTTGGTTTACGCAATTTAATTGAGGATTTGAACTACAAAACTGATTTTTACAAACCAAAAATTTTGTCTTGAGTAACTTCAAGACTGTGACTTGTGCATTTTGCAGAACATGTGGACGTACACTTCTTTTAGTTAAGTTTTTTATATTGGGACATTATATGAGTGTATAGTAAGCAGTTTTTACTTAGGTTTTCTGTTGTGACTGGGCAGTTGCACATATTTTTTCTCTCTCAAAATGTCTGGTGGAAGTTAGTGGAGGTATAACAGTTTTCCATTTCTGTGGAATATAGAATCAAGATAATTTAGGGACAGAAATTTGAAGTCCAACCCATATGAAGTTTTTAATTTAAAGAAGTGAAAGAAATATTTAAAAGTTATACTGTTCTTTAAAAAAATTGTACTCTGAGAAGTTGATACAGAGAACAGTTTAACAAAGGTAGATCTTCATTGGGAACTGGATAGCTCAGTCAGTATAATGTCTGTATGATGACTGGAGCTTTTTTATTATTTTTATTATTATTATTATTATTTTGTTTTTCCTATGCCTATGTACAAGGTCATAGTTTAAATAATGGACACATATCTTGAATAACATTTGCAAAATGTATGTTCTGTCTGATCATTTGTGACCTCTGGAAATATTCAGTGATAGTTTTTCATAAATAAGTATATTATCAACATTCCTCCAAGTGCAATTTAACCATTCCTGGCAGTCAAAAATTAATTTCTATTTGTGATTGACATAAGTACTAATTAGTGAGTCTGTTTATAATTGAAGTAATATCTGCTTTCTGCTGGTGGCAATATTTGTATATGTTTGCTATTATCATTGTCTTAAAGATTGTGGAAATTGTCGCTTTATTTCAAATTTTTCGGCAATTTCTTTTCATTGCCCTTCATATTTACATAACTGTAAGAAGGCACAAAATATTGAGAAGCATATTTATTGAGTAATTTATATTACATGTACACCATATAATTATATTACAATAAATAAGTCCATGTAGGTTGCTGTATGAAATTTAGTACAGATACTTTTTACTTGCAGGTACAGGTAGCCCTCGATTTACACCGGGGATGCGTTCCTGGACGAACCGGCGTAAATTGAAACTCTTTTATAATGTAAATCAATGGGAAGTCAATTCCATGCGTTGCCAGCACCCAAACATTGACTAGTAATATAATGGCATTACATTTAAAGCTCTGAAATAACGTAAATAAAATAAAGAGAATTTAAAAAATATATTTTATACACTTATAATCAGCAATTCGTTGGTCCCCGCGATTGACTGCGATTCTTTCATGTGATTGATGTGTACAGTCATCTCTGCTGTTATGCGATAGTTGCATTCGTGTAAGATGCCGACCTATAGAAAATCGCGTAGTATAAATAAACCCGGTACCCCCGCAGAGATTAAATTAGCCCTTTGAAAGTTTAAAGCACCAGGAATGAAATTGCATTAGAGCAAACTCGCATATGCAAAAGTTTGCATTTCACAAACAGCTTTTACCGATTCATAGATCTCATTGGAGCGAATTCTCGTTAACGAAACATACGTAATTGCAGAGATGACTGTATTTATAATTTTTATTCAAAACCAGCGATGTAAGAATTACGATTTAGTATATAAATCAGTAAGAGGTACATTGTAGAACGTTATAAATAATAGTAAAATATATTTTTTTCACTTATTGACTTGCTGGTTTCAAAATTGGCATTATTCTGAACTGGCGCAAATCGAGGGCTACCTGTATATTCATTTTAATGAGCATTACATATCTCTAGAAACACCACTAACAGTGGTTAAAAAATGTCCTCTGGATTTTACAAGTTTAGGTACAGTTTTCTGTTCACCCAAAACAGTACATTGTTCGAATCAAGTGTTGTGTCTGCTTTGCAGGAAATTCCAACAGATTTCAACTTTGGTTCCAACACTCTTGATCTGGATGTATCATTTGGTGAAAAGATCAAAGAGAGCCCACTCAGATCATCTCAGAAAAGTCGTAGAAGCCGCATACTGAAATTAGAGCAGGCTGTTTCACCTAAACTTGAAGAAACTGTTAACATATCTGGTGTTGCTGAACTTTTCAGTTCTCCAGTGAATGTATCTAGTAAACAGAAGATTGCATCCATTACTTGTGATAATGGACATACTCCAGCTGCAGAAAGAGAATTGAGTGGTATATCTGCATCTCATCTTACACCTGACTCTTCAAGATCAGAAATTGGTTTCAGCTCAGGCAAGAAAACTCCTAAACATAGTGTCCATCATTCACCCTTTGGGAAACGCTTGAAGAAAACTCAGCGGTCTAAATCAGCTTCTGACAGTGAAGATGTAAAAGATGCTGAGACTCATCAGTCTAATCTTGGCACTCCTCATGCAGGCAGAAGGTCCAGATGTATAAGTCTAAGCACTCCTGAAACCAATGATCTAACAAACAAAACATTATCTGCAAGGAAATCAGGGATTTTGTCTGTGAAGCAAACTCCTAATTATGGGTCTCACTGTTCTGGCACAACAAAGTCACCAGAAATGGGAGAGAAAGCGAGATCAGTTACTTCAAGCACTCCTAGTCCTAAACAAACCACTTCAGGATGGAATTCAAGGAGTTCATTAATTGCCATGCAGTCTCCAAAGTCTGTTGAGTCAACTTCAATATCACCTCCAGAGACTGGAGATAAAGGTGTATCTGTATCTCAAGGTACACCTGCTTCTAAGTTAACTGCTTCAGTAAGGAAGTCAAGAAGTTCAGTAGGTATTCATTCACCAGAGTCTTATGAATCAGATTCAAGATCATCACCAAGGACTGGAGATAAAGGAAAGTCTGGTTTTACAAGCTCGCCTGCATCTGAACGAGCTGCTGCAGCAGGAAAATTGAGAGGTTCAAGAGTTGTCATGCAATCTCCTGAGGTTGGAGGTACTGGAAACTCCTCAACAAGAAAAAAAAGGAATGCAAATAGCGCCATTTTGTTTCCAAAGGCTACAGATCAAAATTGTACTTCTGTGAGAACATTTTTAAGGTCTCCTGCTGGGCAAGATCATGAGGAAGTGATACCTGTATCAGACTTATCTATGTTGAAGCAGTCATCTCCAAATGCTGTTGCTTTGGTGTTGGATGAAGGCCATGGATCTTCTGGCTCAGGAGTTTCAAAATCTTCAGAGAAACATATGCACAGATTGCCCAGATCAGATAGCACTTTGAATGCTGTTACCACCCAGAATTGTGTGTTGCTGCAAGAATCTGGCTTTTCATATGATTATAAGAGCAGTTCACCAAAGAAGCGAGTTTCAGAGTCTTATGAGAACCAGACGTTACCAACTCCAGATTCCGTTAACACAACTTTTGATTTTGATTCTGTAAAGACTCCTCATATTTCTGTAGAAAAATTTGTGTCGCCACTTTCCTCAAGTAGGAAACGAAAGAGTTCGACGTTACAGGTAGTGAGGAATGGACAACATTTTCAGAAGCTTATGGAAATGTCACCAAAGAATAGTCTTGGTAGAGTCCAAGAATTTTCAAATAACTCTAGAATTTTAAAATCATGCAAAAATGATTTTTCAGATGTTAGTGGTGTGCAACAACTTCCTGAAACACAAAGCAGTCCGAAATCTCCCACAAATGATACGTCAGATGTGCATAGAAGAATTGAACTTACAAAGGCATCAGGGTCTCCAAAATCTACAAATTACTTGACAGATATGTTTATAGCTAAGCACCTTTCAAAGGTCCCAAGGCATCCAAAGACTCCCAAAAATGATCTGAAAGATGTTTCTGGTGTGAAACAGCTTATGAAGACTCCAAAGTCTCCTAAGAATGATTTGAGCGATGTTCGTGGTGTGAGACAACTTATGAAAACGCCAAGGAGTCCAAAGTATCCCATAAATGATCTGAGTGATGTTCGTGGTGTGAAGCAGTTAATGAAGACACCTAAGAGCCAAAAGTCTCCTAAGAATGATTTGAGTGATGTTCGTGGTGTGAAGCAGCTAATGAAGATACCTAAGAGCCAAAAGTCTCCTAAGAATGATTTGAGTGATGTTCATGGTGTAAAGGAACTTATGGAGACTCCAAGAAGTGTGACGTCAGCTACAGATTACTTAACAGATATTGATGTTCATGAGCTTGGGAAAGCTGTAACACTTGGTGGTGATTCATCATGGACAGAAAGTAAACCAAAATTTGATAGTTCTGCTGTAAGTGGGGAAGTGTCTTCTGTGGCCACAAGGACACGTCGCAAACAGGCATCTGGGATGGCAACCCCCATCAAGCACTCTCCAGAATTTATCAAAACAGATATTAATGAAGCAGGCAAAAGTGGTACAGAAATGAATGCTGTGCAGAAGAATGTCCATTCACCTGAAGAAGTAAAGGTAAGTTATAATTTAATTCTGTCATCAAAATAGTATTACTATGTTTACTCACATGTCACATCTTAGTTTTCTGTCTCTCTGAAAATTTATAATAGGAATTGTAATTTATGCCTAATTAAATGGAAAGAGGGAATGGATGTGATGTTAGTAGTTGTATGAAAGAATTTTAAATAGAAATGCATGCTCATACATTTCTAGAAACACATTTAACATGCCCTCTCCCTTTCCCAGGATTTGTAATGCATAGTAGGTTAAGGTTGTGATAAGTGCCAACATAATATATTAAGTCAAATAGCACATTTTCTTGTGGCAATGTCATAATAAATATGCAAGAATTAGGTGCTAAATGTGTCATACGTAACTAATGTTGCCAAGGTAGCTCAGTCAGACTGACTACAGATTGAAGAACCAAGATTCTGTTTGCAGCGGGGACAAGGAATCGTTATTGCCTGTTAATCCAGACTGACACATGCTCACACACCCTCCTTTCTAATGGATACCAAGGGTCCTATCCCCTTATATCCGCTTATCCCCATCTAGTTCCAAGATCAAGTAGGAGCTTTCCCCCTCTTCCCCCCCCCCCAAATGGCACCAAGCTGTGAACTGGGGACAGCCTTACTTTTTTGTAGTTTTGTTTTCCAGTTGGGTATCTTAATACATTTTGTAATCTTTCCTTTCATATTGTAGACAAGTAATGCAAGAAGTAAACGTAAGAGAAATGAACCACATAGTACATTAAAAGCTGAAGTAGCAGATGGAACCCCAAAACCACTGTCAAAGAAGCAAGGGCAAAAGGAGAAGGTGGAAGATGTTGAGGACCCTTCACCAGGACGGCATGTTGATATATTAGCCGGGTCCTCTGACAAGTCTCTTGCCTCTGGCAGATCACAAAACAGAGTACAATCTAGTGTTCCCAGTAGCCCAACCACACCAGTGGCTAGAGTTACAAGGAGGAAGAGAGGTGTGGCTACTGCTGAAGTTAAATTGCCAGCCTCTCCGCCTGAAACAATCAAAACACTGAGGTCAAGACGAAATGTAGCGAAAACAGAATCTGCTACAGCATTCGAAAAAGCAAAAGAAGATACAAGTGATGTGCAGGTCTCCTCTCCACCTGCTAGGAGAACCCGAGGTAAAAAGTTGACTTCTGCTGTTGAAATTTCATCTCTAAAGAAAAAATCATGTAACGCAGACACTGTAGAAGTGGAATCACCTTTTCCTTCCAAAATGCAATTGGGTGCTAATGTCAATACTGATAAGGAAGAGTTCTTTCCTGCCAGAAGCAAAAGGAAACTATATGGCAGTGTGAACACTGGTTCTGAATTATCATCACCCCTGAAAGTAAACGAAAGTACGAGTGTGATAGTTGATACTATACCATCGCCTCCTAGAAGACTACGGGGAGCAATTGTTACTACCAAAGTTGAAATTCCTCAGTCACCAGTTACAAGAAAGACTAGAGGTAAATTGACTGTGACACCTGCAGTAACATCATCACCAGATGTTAGTACAGTGCCAGTGGAAAACCAGTTGTTTTCAACTACTAGCAAGCAGCCACCAGCCAATAGTTCTCCATTATCTGCAGTTGAAAGAGGAAAACAAGAAACCAAACCATTTAAATCTCCATCTCCAAGACCTACAAGAAAATTGCGAGGCACAAAGTTATCAGGTAAGTCTTACAAGTTTGTATGAGGATGTTATTGGTCTGTATTTCAGCGTAATGCTGATAAAATATTTCAGATACCAAAGAAAAATTGGGCATACAATAGAACAGCACACTTATTTATAGATTATGATTGAGTTACAAGAGCAGTATTATACAGATTTCTCATTGAATTTAGTATGCACCTGGAACTAATTAATCATATTAAAATTTGTTCAAAGAAAACTTGTGATCAGTTTTGTAACTAATGAATCCTTGGAAAGTGTGGAAAAGTTCAATATTTGGAAATAATTGTAAATAAAAGTTCCATTCACAAAGAAATAGAGAAGATATTAAAATTCAGTAAATGCTTGTGATGAAGATCACAGTTTGTTGTCTTGTAGACTGCTGTATGAAAACAAAGATTACAGTATACAAAATTATAAGTTATCTATTGTTTTGTATGATCATATAACTTTGTCTCTTGCATTATATTTTGAAACCAGTGTCCCCAAGAGAATACAAGGAATGTAAATACAGAATTTGTGTTGCAACAATTGGGTTGTTGGTATAATGTACAAATTTTTCTCTTGATGACTCCTTAGGTTCTGTGCCAATTAGGTGATCTTATTTTCAAAGGCAGGAAGTCAGAACTGCTTGTGAAGTTAACTCTGACTAACAGGGGAGTGTGAATAGATGGTTTCCAAATATTTTTCTCCAGCATGGTAGGCTATAACTGCCACAATTCTGGAGGATTATTTTAAGATTAAAGGAATTAAGAATGTTAATCTTACTGTTTCGTAACTGAACATCCAAGCATTACTGTATTTACTTGTGTATAAAACACACCCTTGTTTTTTGATTAAAATATTATAAAGTATTGATTTATAACACACTTCAAATAAATGATATACAGGTGGTGAAAGAAAATAAAAAAAGGATTATGTGGGTGGCACATGAAATTATACCTGATTGAAAGTTAAATAAAAGCTTTAATTTTCATGTAATGGTACATATATTTATGTTAACACAAGTTTTTCCTTAAGGTAACCTCAAAGGAAGACGTCACAGGGATTTATGTCTGGGCCTTTGGGTGGCCACTTTTGTCCACATCCATGGTGAGCCAAATATCAGTGGCCACTAAATAGTCTGGATGAGCTGTCATAGCTCAGACTGGGTTTAATCCTCAATGGGGATGGAGGATTTTTCCCTCTAGCTTCTGTGTCAAGACTGGTTGTGGGGCCCACCCAGCCTCCTATCCATTGGGTACTGAGGTCCTTTTCTGGGGGTAAAGTGCGACCGACTTCTTCCTTTTTGATTACCTTACAAGAAAACCATCATTAATGCAACTCAGGGCTTTTATTGTTTGAATGTGTTGTGAAACTATGGAGAATATGTGCCATCAAGTATGTTCATAGATGTATATACACCATTATATGAATACTAAAGCTTTTATTTAAATTTACAATCTGACACAATTTCTTTTGCTGTCCTATAGTACAAGATGTCTGAAGATAAGGTGGGTAGAGTTAGCATTTGTTGTTGCAGGTGATATTTTGTAATAAAACTGAATCAGATGATGGATGGCCTTTTGTTTGAGAGCAAATACATAAATATTAGCTTTGAAATTGTATCTGATAGCAATGTTCTGCTGTGTGCAGAAAGAATCCACTTCCCCCCTTTAAATGTGTGTGTATTACACAGTTTGTTTTTAAGAAATAATAATTTAAAAACATTTATACATGAGGAAATACTGTACTTGTGAAGGGTGAATAGAAGACATTTGAATGGTTCCAAATCTTTATTTAACAAACACTGAATGGCATTACACTGTTGGAAAACATGCTACAAAAATATTTAGCATGCAGGAGAAGTGATGTAACTTGATGACCACTGGGATCATAGTTGTTCACATGACATTAAAGTGACAACTGAACCTTAGAAAGCATTTTGGACATACATGTTCAATCTGCACCAAGATGGTTCATCATGTCACAGCAAAATTCAAAACGTGGCACTCTGTCATTTGGCATAGTGTTCTGTAAATTTTTAAATTTTGTAGGGATGTGGGCCAAGGTGTTTTCTCAGAAGCGACTGCTGGGCACTTTTGTTTCTTTTCTGATACCTGACTGGCCTGAACGCCTCCTTTTCCAGATTCAGCCTTATCTTGAAATTCATTAAACGGCTCTCAAATTAAAGTTTTGTTTCTGTAGTCTGTTTAGTTTTTGTTAAATTAGTGTGTGAAACAGTAATGATCATTTATGTTTTCCCTGTGTATTTCGAGGATGAGATAGAGGGTCTGTTTTGGAGGTAATTTTAGGGAAAGTTCTTCATCCAAATTAAAAATGTGGATTATTAATTTGAACTCTGTCCTCTCTTTCAAGAAGAAGAAGAAACTGAATCATCTGTTACTGAAACAAGAAAGAAGAAAACTAGGGTAATATCAAGTCCATTGTCAAAGGCAAAATCACCCACTCCACCAAGAAGGTAAGTGATTGACTACCCATCTTTTTTCTTCAGTTACGGGACTGTTAGGAGGCAGACCTTCTGTATCACTTCTAGAGAAATACTGAAATTAGGAAATGAGACATGAAAGTACTTTCCACCAGCTAACAAGGTCCCATATTCAACTACTATTTGATCTGAATTCCTGATAACCCATAAGCATACTGTTTGACTTAAAATACCTGCCTAAAATTAGTTCGGTGATTTGAGAAAAAATTCCGCAAAGTGTAGTTGTACTAAATGTGTCACTTTAAGCTATTTTGACTCGTCTAGTAAACCATCTTATCCACAGCAGTCTGAGATTCCAGTTTCTCATGACAGCAGGTATGAAGTTGGCTGTCTTCTGAGTTGTTATCTGGAATGTTACTGGTATTCATTGGTACTTGCTGCCTCCATCATTGGGGTGATGAGCAAACTGTGCATTTATTGTCCTGATGAAGGAGATGGCAAACACTTCTGAAATATCAATAAATCTTTACCAGACTACATAGCACAATAACCCAGAAGTTCTCCATCTTCACAGAGGGTGTATTAACAGTGTATTTCCAGAGCAGATATAGTAGCTGCTTCCAAAGCTATTTATAGTAAATAGCTTTGGAAGCAAAACTGCAAGTTAAGTTGATGTTGGAAGTCATGGAACAAGTTTTAAATCATTTGTGAAAAGTTGCTGAAAAGAATGTCCTCATTTACGTTTTCTATATATGTAATGTTAAGAAATGGACATTTATTGTCTTGATATAATAAAGTTCATGTTATAGGCTGTGTTTATTATGTAACGGTTTACTGAACATTGTGGTCAGTGATTAACAGTTGCTTAGTGTTTTTGGAGGTCCCATGTTTAAATCTTAGCCCAGAGATTAGTTATCCTGACAGTTTGTGGTGTTTCTCAAGGCAACTGCTGGGATAGTTCCTGAAATTGGACCACATCTGCTTCCGTGTCCATCCCAGTTCATTAATCCTGTCTGATTCTTTATAGTTAGTTACTACTGATAGTCTTGTTTAATAAACTAGAACTAAAATCATGAGCTGCAATAGCTCAGTCAGTAAGGTGGCTGGCTAGAAATGGAGATTTAAAGCTTGATTTCTTGACATGAACATTTTCCTCAGAATCACATTTAGAATTGCTGTTGGGCCTCTCTTCAGTTGGTCTGAGTCATCTTTTCTGCAGGAATAAAATTTTGGTGCTTGAAGCTGATTGCTTGCTTTCATCTTGTTCTAAGACCTACATTGCATGGATCATTTATCTGTTCACCTCCATTTGTGATGCTCAGGTGTATGGTAATTTTGCCTGTTACAATGGAAATTTGCTATAGATCTACATCATGAATGATGGAGTGGTGCAAAGTTGCAAACTGTTGAATTAGGAGCTCAAATTGGACCAGATTATTTTGTATATGTACTTCCAGGGGTGGGAGTCAGTCCACAAAGAAAGAAGTGAGCCCACTCGCAACAACAGAGCGTCAGATACGTGCATGTCGAAGAAAGAAATAAAGAATACAGAAGGTATGTATGTTGCAACCAGCTACTTTATTCTTATTAGTTGGGAGTTTATTAGATGTTATGTAAAAAATTTCTTCCATACCATGCTCATAATTTTTAATGTGCACAAAAACCAAAGGTTTAAAAGAAATATGTGGATGTGTATGACTTTATTTCCATACTTAATTTCACATAGGTACCTGCATCAGTTCAACTGTTATCAGCTGTTAATATTAAAATTTACAAATTTATAAGCATTGCTATTGCTGCAGCAAGCAGGTAAACTGTGCTGTCCAGCTTTGGTTTATTTTGTAGCTGGAAAATCTGACTTACCCAGACAGATGTTACAAGATTTGTTGTTGCTATACCTGGCTTTCAGCTGTGCATAATTATTGCATCATTTGTCATCTTTTCTGTTTTGTCAGCTGTGACAATAAGTGAAAGATTATTCTGATTGGTTAGTGGCAGTGTGTGAGGAAGTGAAAATATTCATGTGACTCAAGTTGTGCAAGATTCTCTTAGTGTATGGTGTTGGTAAGTTTACAGTAGATTATTAAGTGTTTTATATCAATCTTATGTTAAGTATAGCTGCATTGTGAAGAGACAGGAAATTCAAAAGAAAGTTTCCCATGGTTTGAGATATTTACTGAAGCACTGTTCAGAATCATGCCATTGTAAGAACAGCTGGGATGATCGTAGATAAGGAACCAGAACATCGTCACATGTAAACAGACAAGAAGTTGCATGATACCAGAGCCCAGCTTGAACATTTGTCTCATAAGTGCCTTATGCAAGAAATAGGAGTATCAGAAGAGACTGCAAGAACTACTACAAATTTTTTTAAGCTATTGCCTTACATAACCATAGTTTTTGAACTGTTTGGAGCCATGTGATCCAATAGTCATGCTTCATTTCTGTAACTGGTATCTTCACTCAGTATAGGGGCGTTTAAAATCTGTCAAACAAGTACGCACACGCAACTCAGAAAAATCATTCACCTTGAAGTGTTCCGTGTATCCTGAGAACAGCTGCATCATGTGGGCCAGACTATTTAGAAGTGGTGGGTAAATGTGTTTGAGCCAATGGGAAACATTTTGTCTTCTGTAATGCTACTGCCACAGCTGAGTGAATAGGGAATGTGAAGCTGGTGCAGTGTTTGCACATAGCAGGTACCAATCCTTGGCATAGATTTCAGAAGATATTCCATTACTTTCACCATTAAAATAAAGCTAGTTACAGTTAATGCACTTTGGCCAAGCTACTGAACAAATATAACAATCAGTTAAAGAATAATAATATTTAAGGGTCAATCATACCATTATAAGGTGTTTTGGTCTGTAGTAGCCTTATGTTTATTTTTTGTTTCAGATGCAGTAATTGTGCACACACACATATCTATCTACATGCCACTTTTGTGTGTCACATAATTTTTAGTTTTTTCTGTGACATTTTCTTACATTGTTGTTGGTGTACTTTCATAACCTCAGAAAATGTAAATATCATAGTACTTTTAACTTTTTTAATGTACAATGTGTATTTTTTATAAGAAAGTAATGACTGAAGTGAAGCTGATAGAATGGTATCAGCATTATTAATTCAGAGCAGTTTTCATGAGGTATTTAAAAGATTTGGATATTGGCCTTAGAATGTTGCCTTTTAAAATGTATGGTACAAAATGTTTATGGCTTTGTTTTTTTCTTGTTGTCATATGGTGCAATTTAGTTTCAATTACAGGTTGTTTAATGTCCTGACCTCTAATGTCTATGAAGGTCCAAACATTTCTGTGTGTCACATCTGTAAGTCTTGGAAACTAATTCCCTGTTTAACATCTTTCAAATTATTCATGTATGTTGGTATAGATTGGTAGTATCTAATGATGCAATATTTCATTATAGAAGAATGTAATAAATTGTTACTTCATTGTTTTTAAAATAAAACCTAATCCTTTTCCATTTTAACTTTCATTTTCCAAAATTAATTTGTGTAATCAAAATGTACAAGAATGTATTGAATTTATGACAATACCTTTATACTTCATTTCTGACAAACCACTTGCATCAGTGAATAAATCAAATTACTACCATTGTAAATTCAGTTCTCAATGCTGCCACTGATGGAAGTTTGTGGACATCTTAAAAATTTTGAATTTGGAAAATATATAAAATATAACACATTATCTCTGGTAAAATTTAGGGAAGTTTTGACATTTACATAATTGGCAGCTTGGTACCTGGCTTCTAGAGTCAAGCAGTCCAGCAATTTTTAACCACTATGGTTCCATTTTACAGTGGTTGAGTAACTGATTTTAAGCAGTCATCTTTACGTTGGTACCTTTAGGTTACCAACTACATGTATGACTCTACAATCTTAGGAAAAGAGGGTTGCTAAGAGTGGGAGCTTTTGTCAGCAAAATATTTTGTGCTGCTTGTCATGTGGATGAGTTCAGTAATGTGTTCAAAATATTTAGTTTTTCTTAGTGTGTTAATTATTTAATGGTGTATCAACTTCTAACAATTGCATACTGTATTGGAATTTGGTATGTAAGACACCTTTTCAGTTGAAAGTGTTATAAATCAGTAGTGGTTTCTGTAGATGAAGATACTGTTGACTGGCATAATGAAGTACATTTAGTATACAGTAGATATTGAGTTTTGGTGGAGTGTGAAATGATGGCAGGCTATTGGGCTGAAGTTGTAGATTCCAAAGTGGATAGTTTACCTGATAACACAGTTGGGTGGTTGGAATTCAAGTTGATTTTAATCATGGTTTTCACTTGCGTGCAGCACAAGTAGCAAAATAGTCACCTCTCGATGGGAATGTAATATTTTGTAACTTGCTAGACTGCTGATATTTTGATAATTGAGTAATATTCATAGTCACAAATTTGCATTAATTAATACAGAAGCTGTATTCAGAATTGAAATGCTGACAAATATGTGTAGCTTATAAGTAAAACTATGGGCATGTTTTTGAAAAGCAGTTTAATTCAGGAAATGCTTCCTCAATGCAGTTCAGACTTATAACTGGTGTAAAAATGTAAAGATAAAACATTTTATGTCTTATACAGCTGTAAATCTTAATCTCCTACATTGATGCTTTAAAACAAAAACACTTGTCATTTAAACAAAATTATTTTATCTACTGACATGAGTGGGTTGTGTATGATCTAAGAATAAACTATATTTCCACAGCATTAACAAATTAATTTTAATGATGGTGATTGTTTCTGTGAGGTTTCTTCTTAAATTTTAAATTAACTGCATGATTCATATGGTTTAGGTGGGTAAACAGGCAGTGATTATTATCTGCATCAGGACAGGAATTGATACTGTCCTCATGTGCTAAGGCACCATGAAGTGCGCGTACTATGTTTCCCTTACCATTTAAACGACGACTACCGCCTTCTCAATGCGACTTCTATGTTATCGGTAAGTACGTGAAAAAACGCTCTGCTGCATGCTAGAATGAGATGCTCTTTGCTAATTTTAACTAAAGAGGTCTAATGCCACGAATCCTAAAGAACTTTGAAATGAAATTTGGTGCTCGCAAGAGTGAACTTTTCTTTCAGTGCTGTAGACGATGTTGGTATTAATGTACGCGTATATCTATGGTACAGGAAGAGGAAATTAATGTGTTTGGTGCTGTAGGAAACTGGTGTAAAATTAGCAGTTTCGAGTAATAATTTACGTAGAGTATGTAGATGTATTGTAATGGGATTTAAAGTACGATTTAGCAACAGCACAACCTAACATTACGTGGTATTAATTTATTGTATGCGATACAATTGCAATACTGTGGGTTATATACACACAGTTGATGGATTAACAAGCAGTGTATATAAATTTGTTTCAAGAAAATGGGTGAATCGACATCGAGTCCGTATGACATTAATGGCCAACATTTTAATCCTGATATGTATTTACATAAGCTACTGAAGGTACAAAGCAACGTTTTATTACATGTGCAATATACATAACAGAATCGGCCCCCAGTATAGGTTATTGGACCGCGAAAGTGCTATATGCATGATTGTGTGTAGTAAAGAAATCTGCCACACTTTACATTTCCCATTTCTTATTTTTATAACCTTATATGTGTGAGCCCTGTGCAATCGGTATGTTGTAGTTGGTGCCACGGGTTGCTCTACGGCTCTCTGGTTCGAACCCCATGCCTATGTGGTCCAAGGGTTACAGATTCGAATCCTTGATATATCTGTTGGTGTTCGACTTATTTTCTTACTTTCAGTGTATGAATGTAAATGAAAATAAATGAGGTATGCACTATATCTTCCACACATATTGGGTACCACAGCTACTTAACTTCATGTGATAAGTACCTGTAAACAGATACAAGAATTAAATATTGCAAGAATTATAACATGATAAGTTAATGGTTGGGTTCAGTAATAATTTCATACTAAGTTTTGAGGTTATATTTGTTGACTGAAAAGATAAAGGTATTCCCTTGTCCCAATGCAAAAGGCATGCGGACTGGAGAGCCATTATCTTTCCGAATCTGCTTATATTTGATGCTGTCTGCGTTGCGTAATTTGTTGCCATAAAGTTACTAGGAATAAAGAATAAAGCTCTGTTAATCATAGATTCCTGTCAGATGGTAGGTGAATGCTTAGCTGTTCTGCCCCCTTTACTACTGTGGAAAGTATACCCTTATCTGATAACGAATTTAATATAAGGTTGAGTGGGCTCCAAAATTGCCATGAATGTGGCAGGGAAAAATAAAATTCCTGACTGGCAAGATAAATTCTGGTTATCCAGCATGTATGCAGTCACAGAGTTATCTTAGCTCAAAGTATTGACTGGTAACTAGTAGTCAGTCACAGTATATATTATCCCATCTCACAAAATTTGTTTAAGTGTGATGCTATAAATTGAAAAGTTTAGGGGGAGGGGGCATGAGGGTTTAGGCTATCATGTAACTTTGGCTTGAGAGTCTGGTGAAAATCCATACAATAGTATTGTTACTGCAGACACTTTTTAGTTCCATAGATTCATCTTAGAAGGCTTCATTCAGAAATCTAGAGGGAAGAATAGTTGAACAATATATCATAATATAAGTGTTCAGTTCAATTCTAAAGGGTTTTGACAACAGTAGTTTACGATTAAAATTATTCGTTATTAGAACTTTTTCCACTGGACCAATGACAGACTAGTTCTATCTAAGGGACCCAACAGAGGAGGTACCTCTCACTTGAAGACTGAGACAGAACCAGCCTCCGAAACGTCGTTATTTTAAAAGAACAGACGATAGAAAAAGTCCTGATAACGAACAGTTTTAAGTAAGTCTTCAGGCTTTCATGATGGTTTCTTGCAACTCATATTTTAATTCTTGGGAAGAACCTTGTACCATTTGTGGAGAATATGTACATAGCAAATAATGAAGGTAAAATTACTTTTAATGCAACTTCATTAGTGTATACTACTGAGAACCTATGTGTAGCTGGGAAGTTAATACTAAAATGGATCTTGAAGAAATGTAATTTGAGGGTGTGGAGTGGATTAATTTGATTCATGATAGGGACTATTGTTGGATTATTGTGTGGACAATAATGGACCTTAAATTTCAATAGAATGGAATTTCTTTATTATCTGAACAGCTGTTGGCTTCTGCAGTAAGATTGTGCTCCATGGAGTTCATCATTCCATTGCTACTTTAATATTTAAAATGTAAAATATTTAGATAAATGTTGGACCAATAAAATTGAAGGCATGAGAAATTGAAAATAGATATCCTCAGTTCTCACCAAATTTGCCCAGAGAGAAAATTCATCTGCCTGAGACTCCAGCCCAAACCATAGAGTAGTAGTAGTAGTAGTAGTAGTAGTATTTGAAATATTAATATTTTTAATGGAGACCTTAGAAGGGAAATGTTAAAGTATTCTACCAACAGCAGCCTTCTAGTCAAACTATATGCGCTCATCCTTTGCAAATTTAGAACCCAGTTAAGTTGCTAACAACTGAGTGTATTCCAGATCCCTTGCATGACTGTCTTCTGTATACTGAAAAAAACATTGATGATTTGTATTTAATAATCATTTCAGGATTGCTCACTAGAGCAAGTCATGGATCAACAAGGAGAGATTATACGAGATACACAAGCACTCCACTCAGACATGCAGACTCTCGTATATGAGAATTATAACAAATTTATCTCAGCCACAGACACCATAAGGAAGGTAATAGTGTGTGTTTCTATTTGTTTCTTGTCTCATTGAAAATGGGCGTAACATCAGAAGCATCTACAAATATACATATTGTGAAAATGTATCAGTTAGTAGCTGAAAAAATTAATAAATAAATTAATCCCAGATCAGCTGACCAGGAATGGCAGCACAATTTGGAGGCAGTCATACTTCATTCATTGAATTCACATCTTGATGTTTTACTGTTCTTGCAGATGAAAAGTGATTTCAAGAAAATGGAAGATGAGATGGACCTCCTTGCAGCAAATATGGAATCGATTACATCATTCTCTGAACAGATATCATGCACCTTACAGGTATAGCATTTATTAGTGATACATTCAGTGTATATAGACACAGCTAACTTCTGACTGCCGGGAATTTGAATCCAATTAGGATTACATGCCTTTCTTAGGAGGTGATTGAAAAATGTACAATAAATTATACATCTGAATTTGATTGAAAAAATAAGACCTGACGTGAAATATTGCATACATCAAATGGCAAAAGCATGAATTTTAAGATTTATTTACTTTTATCAGTATTTAAAATTATGTATTTGGAGCAGGCATAGAATTTATTGTTGCTGGCAGTTTCCAGGTTTGAAATCCACTGATGGCCATTGACAGAGATTAAAAATATATTCTTGTCACTATACAGGATGTTCAAATGGTTTGTACTTTTCTCATAAGGTTATGTGTCCATTCGTGATGATACAGTAAAACCTCTCTAAGTTGGACACTTGGATTTTCCATGAAAATGTGTCCAACTTACATAGGTGTCCAAGATAGAGGAAAGAGAAAAATCAGATTGTGGTCTAATGACAATATAATCTATTTACTTACATACACTAACTACTGTAGGCTTACTTGGATTAAGAATTAATGACAATAGTATTAATAATAATCTTTTGAAGCTCACTCCCATGCATTGCACATTACACTCCAGCCTCAATAACGTTTTCTAAAGTTAATTCAACCCATTTTCTCCTCCCCATCGCAAAAAGAAAAATTCCATTCCTGTTAACACAGTCTGAACTCAAATTCAAGCACAGTACTGATGGAGTTAAAACTGTCTTTTCTGCAATACTGTAATCCAGTTAAGAGTTCAGCAAAAGAATAGTTAAACACTTGCAATGCATTCCAATGATGGGTTCAATGTCCATAAGATAATCCTCCAGAGAGGAGCATTCATCAGTCAGAAATTCAAAATAACAAAATATGTAACTAAAAAAGTTTCCCTGAAAAGCATTGAAATTAAGTGCATGAACCTGTCCAAGATATAGGGTATTGTGGGCATGTAAAATTATAGGATATTTGCCGGTTCCAATTAAAAGTGTCCAATATAAAGGGCTGTCCAACTTGAGGGGTTTTACTGTATTATTTTCTGAAATGTGTTGTTTGCTTATATTTTTTGTTATAATGCTTCTTATAATTTGCTCATGATTTTAAATTCCTTCAGGACACAAGGCAGCAAATTACTAAGCTGTCAGGTGTGCATTCATTGCTTAAACGTCTGCAGTTCCTTTTCAAGTTACCAGGAAAGTTGAAGGTGACTCTTCAGGAAGGGCATTATTCTCAGGTAAAAGTAAAGTTGTCCTGGATACTTGTTAAGCACTACATCGTGAAGGTGTATGTTGTTATCGAGCATCTTTTTAGTTAGTTTCCTTATTAGACATTCTTTGCACAAATGCATGAAATGAAAATATTTAGGACTAGTAATGTCTGTTTCTGTCCATGATTGAGCTCAAAAAATGCTAGACAAATTGGTGACTACTGTAAAATCATACTTCTCCATTTTTTTACAGTAGGTAATACCAGCATGGCAAATGAACAAACTTGAAGGAGGGATCAATATTAGCACCTCTTGCATAGTTCCATACGGTGGTGTATGGATACACATTTTCATAACATACAAAACACTGTGTTATTGCATGAAATACAGTGGTAGATTATTTTGTTTCAGGCAGTCCAGGATTACATCCATGCTCAGAGAGTCTTACACCAGTATGGCAATATGGCATCTTTTCAAGGCATTCAGAGTGACTGTGAAACCATTGTTGAGGAACTGAAACAAAAATTGCGAGATCAATTCAAAAGCAAGGAGGTATCTGTCAAGTGTTATGTGCTTACTAAACTAACTCAATATTGTATTATAATGTAAAGGTTTCATGGGTCTTGAATTTAGTCTCCTTCGCAGTATATTTTCCCATTTCCCTGAGATCCATTTTAATATCATACTTAACAAGCAAGTTGTTGTTGTTGTTGTACAGTAGCATTATAGATTTGTTCAGAATTCTGGTGTAGTTTCTTGAAGGAGACTGCAATTTCCCTCTTCTAAAGCCTTACCTCATTACCATTCATGATCATGTGGTAATGTCATTCAGTGCTATATAATCACCAGAGTTTAAATGGAGTTCTTTCAGTATCTCAGATTGTATAGTGTTAAATAATGATGACAGTGAATAATAAATTGGAAGAGATGTTGAAGCAAACTGTCATGGTCTAATTTAAGGTGCTGTTCTGGCATTTGCCTGAAGGGACTGTGGAAAACTACAGAAGAACCTCAATCAGTATATCCAGTCTCTGGGCTCAGATTTTAACCCAGGGCCTCCCAAGTACGAAGCAGGCATGCTAACCCCTTGACCATGATGTTCAGTGAAATGGTGTTCTTAAATAATTTCATAACCAACCAGTTGATTATTCAGTTTTGTATTTCCATTTTCTCCTGGTCTTTCAAATGTTTTCTTCACCAGAATTTTATATTAAATTTTGCTTTATGCAAGATCCTTGTACCTGAGGTATTTGATTCCTGGAATCCAGCATCTTTCCCCTCACACCCAGTTCCACACAGTCTAGTAATTTAATTTTTGTCTTCTTCATAAATTATGTAATTTAATGCTCCTCATCCTCAGATTTCTCTTTCTTGTATCATCTTGGGCTTCCTCATTTTATTTGCCCTGTAGGTCATTTGTCTTCACCATTCTATTTACGTCTTTCCAGCTGTTTAAGTGTTATATCAGCATTAAGTTATGTAACAGTTAGATTTAAATAAATCATGTTTGTCCTTGGCCTTGTTTCTTGTCCTTGTTACAGGCTTCAGCTAAAGAACTAGCTGAGTCAGTTGATTTGCTGCTTCAGCTGCAAGAACCAGCAGATTCGTTATGTGCAGAGTTCCTGGCACATGCAGAGACTCATCTCTGTGAACAGCTGACACTCCTGGAGGGATTGCAAGACCAGGTTAGTCTCATTTAAAAAATAAGTGAAAACTAAAGATTTCCTTTTGTGCTTGAGGTCACAGTATTAGAAAACTTTGAGTCTATTCAAATTTAAATATTTCAGTATTCACACTTTCTTAATTAAAACAGAAGAAAATATAGTAGAATTTGAAATGTCCTGTGTGCGATACCACACAGAATTTGAAATGTCCTGTGTGCGATACTGGTTAAACCACAACCCATTTTGTATTGTACACTGTTGTTTAATAAATTTTTCCATGAATAAAAGAAAAACGTTTTATATGACTTGTCCGAAGGTATTAATGTTTTATTATACTGAAATTTGTTTAATTTCCTAAGAAGAATGCTTAATTTTGCATGTTTTGAAGATTTGGTTTCTATCAACAACTTTACAACATTGTTACCTCCCTGCAGTGACACTTTTGCAACTGGCACCAGAACTTTTTATTCTTGGTATAAAGAGTGCTGGGTCAGTTTGATATAAGAATGTTGTGGAATCTTTGTCAAATTTTAAAAATCTCATCACAGTAATCCTTAAACTAACACCATTTTGTACCTTGAATTTTATTTTACACTTCTGTACAGTGTCAGACCCAGTATCAGGCAAACTAAAATCCTTGACCTAAAATCCATATTTTCTTCCGATGATTTCTGTGGCTGCATTTTCCTATGCTTGTCTTGTTTAAAACTGTTGCTTCACAGTTCTTTGACTTACTACCATGTGCAAGTAGCACCACTGTCTACAGGCTTCTTACTGCTGGTAGAAGGCAGCTTGTTTGTTTTACTTGTTTAGTCATTGTATAGCACAAGATGTGAGCTTTTACATGTTTTTTATAGGATGAAGATAATATCACACCAGATTATAGAGGTTCTCTTGTTTCTCATGAAAAACAAATTGTGAATTGTAGATAAAGCATACCTGAACAAAAATTTTGATTATATGTTTTTTCTATATTGAAATTCCTCTGCTTAAAGATCCAAAATCCAGAAATTGCTAAAAGCCTTAGGTCCCAGATTTTCTGGATAAGGGATTTGATAATGTAGTCACATTTGAACCCAGGACCTCACAAATATAAAGGGAGTGTCAAATACTTTATTGATATTTTTGATTTAGTGCTAGTGTTTCGTATGTAACGCTACTTTATGTTTCTTTCAGGATATTATTGAATTTGTAGACATTGGAAGTTCAGGATTTCTAAGTGACCTCTGCCTGGTTGTGGCATCGTACAATGACATGTTCATCAATAGACCACACTTGCATGATATTCAGCAATGGTATGAAAATTCAACTGTGAAAATGTATAAAGTGATGTTCTTGGTGAAATTGAGACAGAGTATATTAAGGAAATCCTTGATAATATTCAGTTAAGCTGTATAAAACATTAGTTTTATGTAGTTCTAGAATTTGTTCTCCTTGAGGGAAGAACACGAATTGCATGTTATTTTGAGGCAGAGTACTTGTAGTATTGTTAGGATGGCGAAATCTAGGAAATCATGATGGGACATACAGCAATGAGGAGAATGGCAAATGTTTACAACATTTTGGTGGGGAAACCTCTTCACAAATGACTACTTAGAAGATAAAGGTTGTTGAAGATAATATTAAAATAGATTTCATGAAAGTGGTATAAATTATAAGAAAGTATCCTATAGCCGGTTATATATTCATTAATAATACTTTTTACCATCAGTCATGCAAAATCCAAGTGTATGTTACCACAACATCAGTTTATTATTTAAACATTAAAATGCATTATGTGCTACATGTTTTGGTTATAATGGCTATCCTCAGTAAGTAAAGACTTAAACAGTAACTATATTAGGAATGCAAGACTATGTATATGTATATTACAATGAAAACAAATTATGAAGAGGATATATATATATATACATGTAAAATTTCACTGGATTTTTAATATGTTAAATGTGTATCTACAGGTACTATAGTTCATAAGATAAAAATGTTTTATGTAAGCACATACAAGCAGAATGATATATCAAGTCCACTTGTGAATTGAACAACACATAACTGCCCCTGTGATTATTATTGCAAGGAGCCTTTACCGAAAGTTAGTTCATATTGAAATATGATTTAACATGCACAATTATTAAATGAAAAATAACTGGGTGAATAGATGTTGATATCATCAAATTCAAAATTAGAGAAATGGGTTGTGAGGTTGTCTACTGGATTGAACTGGATCATATTTGTG